CTAGTCACTGGGTGGGGTCTAGTATCTGCAGTAGGGACAGGTATGGGCCACCGGAGTTCCTTCTGATATTCGGATAGAACTGAACTGTCTAGTGGCTATATATAAGGCTTAGACCCTGGGGTGAGGGTAGGGGTATAAGTCGCTCAGGCCAGCCCGAGTTCCGCCTGGCCTTGGGTAGGCTAGGGGAAGGACGGTAAGACTGCTTCAATGGGTGCTACCCTGTCTGAAACCTAGGGACCGGAGTCTCTTGCGGCCTGTAGTAGATTGTCCGGGCCTGGCGTCCGAAGTTCCCGTTCGACAAGGCTCATCCGATTCCGCTTCCACCAGGGCTGGGTTGGGCGACCTATCAGCCCTGGTGCCTATCACTGCTGTTCGGTCCAAGTTGCCTGGCAGTGCCCATTGGTAGGGTAATGGTCCTGAGTGCTGGTCACACTGAGGTAGGATAGTGGGATAGGGGGTGCGCTAGGAGTATTGATGTGAGGATGGGATGGGAGGGAGGTGGTCTCATATTCCAGGACAGCCACGGCCTACTGCTCCAGGTGATCGCTGTGTACTCAGTGACTGGCCTCTGCAACACCAAAAAAAAAAGATTAAAACAAAGCACTAGAGGGAGAGTTTGTAAAAAAAAAAGAAAAAAAAAAGAAAAAAAGGATTTGTGGTATGCCCCTCCGACGGCCGACTTAGCCTGTCATGCCCCTGGGCCCTCTGGAGTTTCCTGCAGGCCCCTGTCAGTGAGGGGTGCAATTTTCCAGCATACCCCTGTGGCCATTGGTGGCACTCATGGCCGTTCCCCTGGTTGTGGGAGGGGAGCTACTGGGGCATACTGGAAATTTGGAACCGGTAGCGGTAGGGGCATATTGAACATATTTCAGCTAGCCTACCAGAGTAGCCCGGGGTCACTTGCCCGGCCGGGCCAAAAACATTAAAAAATACTCCTGATGAGTCGGTGAAACTCCGACGAAACAGTTTGTCACAGCCCCTCGTTTGTTGTCCTCTTCTCTCTCTCTGCCTACGGTTTACCGGGCAGTTCTATTTGTGACGATATATATGTATTTCATGGTAACCCCGGACCCGGACACCGGACACTTCCAGACTGTCTTCCGGACCAGTGTCTGGACCGGTCCGGACTGTCCAGTGATCCGGACATCACCGGACACCGGACAGTCCGGACCAGTCCCCGGGGCGCAAAAATGTCCGGACCCTAAAAAAAAAAAAAAAAAAAACAGAGGAGGGGGAGGGGGATTGGGTGGGGGTTGGCAGGCACTTACCTGCTTCGCACTCTGTAGTTCAGGCAGCAGAGCACGTGTCTTGCAGCAGAGCACGTGTCTTGCAGCAAATCAACCAGCACATTTAACTGGCAGACATGCAGAGTTGCAAACAGTGCAAAGCAGGCACAAGACTAAAGAAACAGAGAATTTGTTTTTGAAAAAAGTATGATTAACTTTGAACTTTGAACTTCGGATTTAGTAATTTAACTTCATAACTCCATATATGACTTAAAAGTCCGAACTTTGCAGTTCAATTCGTAACGTCAGAGTCTTCAGACTGGCAGCACTGTCAGTGCTCTCTCTCTCTCTCTCTCTCTCTCTCTCTCTCTCTCTCTCTCTCTCTCTCTCTCTCTC